TGCGCCTGGGCTGCGTGCCTGCGCCCGACCGGCTGGTGCGATCGCGCAGGAGGGGGCCTGCACGCGGAGCGGGGCACCCACTCGAGCCTTGCGGACCGCGGACCGCGAGCCTGGCCGTGGTTTAGGAGACAACTGCTGGGATATGACGAAGCCTCAGGGCGAACATAACATCGGGGGAGAATGAATCGCGAATCTCCGAGATCCGGCGGGTCTGGAGGATGTCTCGGGCGCCGCGGCCTCCTCAGAGCGTTCCCCAGCGCTCAGAGAGCGTTCGGCACGCTCTGGAGCGGATTGATCTTCACCCTAGCCCTGTCCGAGGAGAGGCTTTGGACGTGGACTCGACGGCGAAAGAGGGGGGGAAGCGAGAAGGAGAAGGCCTTCTCGGAAGGCTCGGAAGTCCCCCGGGCCTTCTGAGAAGCGTTCTGAGCCTCCCCCGAAGACAGGACGACTTCTCCGAAGGCGCGAGGGGGTTCCGAGAAGTCCCGCCGCCTTCTGAGGTTGAAGGCCTTCTCCTCCCCACTTCGCCCGTTCGCTCGCCGCCGATGGGCGCCTCGGGACCGGGGAGCGGACAACGGCGCGTCGCACCGAGGCGTGGTGGGCCAGAAACGGCGGCGCGGCACGCGGCGCCCCGAAGGATGCCTGGCCGGGACCGTGTCGGCGGCCTATAGCGGGCCAGGCCCCCGGGCGGGGACCCCGCGGATGTGCGGGGCGTCTTCGGTGGCAACGCACGGGAGCGGGAGCCTCCCATACGATGGTGTCGCCTCCTGCGAATCGACGCTGAATCGACGCCGGATCGGCGCTGAGTCGACGCTGCATCGACGCTGTATCGACGCTGTCTCATCGACTCCCACGCGCTGGTCGACGCTAGTCGCCGCTGAAGACGGAGTTGGGAGGGTAATGGAGGATGACGATTGATAAATGACCCGGGGTCGCCCGGGATGACGATTAGAAAAAACCGGCCGCGGGCTGGAAAACTATTTTTGCATCGTTCTCCCCCCGTCAGAAAATTAAGCAGAAATAGCAGTAAACTATTGTTTGAATCGTTCTCTCCCATTTTTATATTAATCGTTCACACGGCTCCCACGATCTGCTACCGACGGCGTCTCTTTCGCGCCTGCCCCGCGGGGAGCGTCTCCGAATTCGGCCGCGCGTGCGCGGGGGACCGCTTCCCCAAGCACCCAGGCCGCGAGGACGCGGGTACACGGAGATGCTCGCCGCTTGTGCTCTCCTCTGAAGGGGCCCACAAACACACAAACAAATACACACAAATTAAATAATTCCCCATAATTTTCCTATATTTCCGGGGTTTTGGTCTTCCCCCCCACTTCCCATATTTTCACCTATTTTCTGTGGAATCGACGATTAATTGTGTCTGTGCGTTTTTTCCCCTCCTGAACCTCCCCCTCCGAGCAGGGAGGGCCGCGCCCGGGTTGAGGCAGGCCCTGAAGACACCGGGGCAGCCCGCGATGTGATCTGTGGCGTGCGCGGCCAAGAGAAGGTCCTGCCCCCCCCCCCCCCCCCTGGGAGCCGGTGCTTCTCAGGGGGGGACGATAGGGTAGGATAGCAGAGGGTACAGTCGGCCAGAATCACAAGGACGCGCGATAAGGATGCAGGGGCCTTGGAGGGCCATGCTCACGTTTTTTTCTAGAACGAGGTTGGCCACCGAAAGTGGCCGAGGATGGGCTGAAGGGGCAAGGATGCAAGGGTACTGTTGGGAAGGTTGCCCATCCCTGTAGAGTAGAGAATCAGCTCAAGTAGCTGGTTTTCCTGGCGCCTCCTGGCGCCGGGAGGCGCCCATGTGTCGGGGAACGGGCCCCGCCGCGGGGGGAAACCAGCTGCATGCAGGAGAATTCGTAACACCCCCTTGGCCTTCTCCATCCCTTTCGTTCGGCACGAGTTTCGCCCCAAATGTGCGAGCGGCGACAACGGAGGGGGCGATCCCGTGGATGCGCGGGATCGCATGGACACTTTCCGCGCGGGGGCATCGGCAAAAAACACGCCCCGCATCCACGGGGTCACGACATGGGACCCTGCCCCGCGGGGCCGCGGGACATTTCACGGGCGAAGAACGGGGAGCGCATGTCGCAGGGCGGCTGGGAAGTTTACAGTCGAGGCGCTGACCTAAGGAACCCTAAATAAGGAACGTGGCCCCCTTCCTTCCATAAGTGAAACTTCGACTTCCCGTCGAAAACTTAAGGAACATCTTTGGCAAGGTGTGGAACAATCAAGGAACACCCAGCCCCTTCCCAACGAAAAGGGTTCCTTCTTCAGCGGCCCGACTGTATACCCTTACGGTGGCACGTCGAAGCATAAACTTTCCAGTCCCCCTGGGGCAGCGCCCCCGGCGACGGAACAGTTTATGTTACATCCATTTTCGCCCGCTAGGACATGGATGTGTGTTGCAGCCCGCGACGGGGCCATTGCTGGTGGCTCCGTGGCCCAAGCAAGGCCAGGCCGAGATCGAGAGGGCAACCGCCCACACTGAACTGACCACACCGTTGGAGGCCTGGGCTCAGGATGCGGGGCGCCCGCCCGCGGGCCCGCCGTCCGGAAGGGGGGGGGGGGGGGGGCAGAAAACGGGGACCAGGACCAAGGCTGCACGCGGAGGCGTCGTGGCGGTCACCACTCGCCTTGGTCAGCGTCCACTCGTGGATCCTCCTCGCGAGTCGGCGACGGCCGGCATGGATCCATGGCCAAGGTCGGCGTCGAGAAAGGGCCCCGCGACATCTTCGTCATGGTCAGAGCGCTCCTCCCCTCGAGCCAGGCCTGGGGAGACCTACGACTCGGGTTCGGGGGACTCGGGTTGGCCTGACGGGGCCATCATGAAAATGACGAGACCCAATCTGAAATTTGAAGCGAACTACCGCTGCAAACACCCCACGGAAACTGCACGTACTGTCAGAATCCTGCACGCGCTCGTCAAAAAACGCCGGCAAACCCGAGTTCTGGCGTACTCGAGTCTGACGTTTCCCCGACAGCCCCCCCCTCGGTTAGGCCGCGGCCGCGGAGCAGCGCTGCGGCGAGCGAAGGGGGGAAGTGAGGAGGAGCGGCCCTTCTCGGAAGGCTCGGAAGCCACCCGGGCCTGCTTAGAAGTCTCCTGAGCCTTCCCCCGAACGCGCAGAACTCTTCTCAGAAGGCGCGATGGGGGCTGCCGAGAAGTCCCGCCGCCTTCCGAGAGGGCCTTCTCCTTCCCGCTTCCTCCCCTTCTCCTTCTCCTCCTCCGCCTCCTCCTCCTCCTCCGCCTCCTCCTCCTCCGCCTCCTCCTCCTCCTCCTCCTCCTCCTCCTCCTCCTCCCCCTCCTCCTCCTCCGCCGCGTTCTGCGAAGGCCTCCTCCTCGCCCTCGCTTCCCTCCCCCTTCGGGCGTTGGCAGAACTGGGTTTGGTGGAACCTGGTTTCGTGATCTCTACCGGGGACGCCCCCCCGTCCCATTTCCACGAACCGGAACTGCCGCCACCCGAAAAAACAGCAGTTGCGGCAAACCTGGTTCAGTGAATCTGGCCCACTGAGGGGCCCCGGGGCCCTACCACTAACCGGGTCTCCTTACCTGGGGTCCTGGCCAATACCCGACCCCTGCCCGCCGCCGCGCCGCGGCCCGCGGCCCGCTCAGGGCCGCGGCGGCCGGCTCGGAGCTGCGGCGGGGCCCTCCCCGCCAGCGGCCGCGGCCGCGCCCGCCCCCCCGGCAGGGTGCGCCGCGGGGCGGCGGGCGGCGAAGCGGCCGCGGCCCCTCGGGCGGCGGCGGCGGGGCGCCGCGGGCAGCGACGGGCAGAGGCGCCGCGGCCTGCGGCGAGCGCTGGCACGACGGATCGTCACAAGACCACTCCGAGCTTGTCTTGAGAAGCGTCGGATCTCGGGGAAGCTCGCGCCGTCACGAAACCACGGCGTGAGAGCGCTGGCCGTCTTCGGCCTCCGGGCCGGGCCCCGTGACCATCAAGAACGGCCAAGGATGAAAGACCAGCCTCGGGGAGAGGGTCGGGACTTTGGGGGACCGCGCATTCTGGGTTTCTTAATAAGTGTGGGGGGGTACCCCCCCCGACGGGGGTCAACCTCGCCTCGTCGTCGCTCCGCGACGGGGGTCGGAGCGCCTTCGGCGCACGGTGGCTGCCCGCAGCGGGGGTCGATGTGGGGCTGTTGGCGGGGGTGACATTTCCCCGACGCTTACTAAGAAAGTCGGAGCATGTTTAAATAATTATTGGATATTCCTCCTGCAGAGGGGCATGCCCGACTTTTCAGCATTTGGGGATTAGGCGTGGACCTCGACTGCGATCTCCGCCGCGCCCCGACGAGGGCTCCTCAAACGTTTGGCGCCAAAGGGGTGAGACCCTAGAAGCCCCAACGGCGGCGATCGCAGACCACACACTGGCGTAACCACAACCACTTGAGCAGGGACTGCCCGTCCCGGAATTAGAGGCCTCCTGGATGGGGTCCGAGTCGGAGGATCTCGCCGCATCGCCGATACTTTGGCGATGCATCGCCGATGCATCGGCCATGCACTTGCGACGTCGGCGATGCATCGGCGACGCCATGCGAGATCGGACTCCACAACGAGCCACATCGCCAATGCATCGGCGCTGCATCGGCGATGCGGCGCGATCCTCCGATCCCATCTGCTCGGAACCCATCTGGGCCGATGTACTGAGACAAAACAGTCTCCCCCACAAATGTTCTAAGAGCATTCTGTGCAAACCAAAAGAAAGGTTCTTACAAAACTCTTTTGGTGGGCTTACAGGCGAGCCTGGACGCTTCGCCACTCCTGGAACTGTTGCAGTCCTCGAATACTAGCGACAGCGAAGACAACGACAGCGACGACGACGACGACGACGACGACGACGACGACGACAGCGACGACGACGACGACGACGACGACGACGACGACGACGACGACGACGACAGCGACAGCGACAGCGACAGCGACAGCGACGGGTCGAGACCTCCCGGGGCCCACGTCGTGACAACAGCCACGGCGGCGGGGGTCCGGGCAGCGGCGGCCGCCCCCCGGGCGGCTAGTAGTAGCCGGCCGGGACCGCGGGCCCGCCCGGGGGCGGGCGGCCGTAGCCCTGGCCCGGCGGGGGGCCGTAGGCCTCCTGCCAGGGTGCGCCCAGGATCAGAGGGAGGCCAGGAGCGGGGCGGCATCGGAGGGAGGGCAGGAGGGGAGGAGCGAGGAGGGAGCAGGGAGAGGAGGGAGGAGGGAGCAGGGAGGAGGAGGGAGGAGGGAGAGAGGGAGGAAGGGAGATAGGGGGAGCGATCCTCCTCCCCGGAGCCTCCCTCCTCCCCCCCCCCTATCTCCTCCCGCCGTCCTTCCTCCCCCTCCTCCCGCCTCCCAGCCCGCTGGACCCAAGTGCGCCTCGCTGGTTCGAGCCTGGGCTCGCGGCCGCAGCGCGCCGCCGCCGCGGGCGAGCCGTGCGGCTGCCGCGAACCGCCGACGGGCTCAGCCGCACGGCGGTGCCCCCGCCGTGGGGGAGGGCGCCCGCGGCGCTGCGCACTTGGCCCGCGGCCGGGCGTCCCCTCGAGTGGCGAGGCACGCGCGCCTTGCGCAAGCGGCCGCTCCCGTGTGGGCGGCTAGGCCCCCCTGCCCCATCCACGAACAGGACCCCCCGGGGGCGCAACGGCCTGCGCCTCCTCCCTCCGAGCTCCGCCTCCATCAGGGCTCAAGGCTGGTGCCACTGCGGTCTGGGAACGAGCGCCGCCGTGCCCCTCCCGGGTGGCCCTTCGCCTCGGGGGGGGGGGGGCGGACTTCACCATAGGAGGCTGCAGACGCGCAGAAGAGCGCACAGCAGGGGAGCAGGGAGCCTCCAGGGGGAGGGGGAGCAAATTAGGTCCCTGCTGCTGCTGCTCCTCCTCCTCCTCCTCCGAGGAGGAGGAGGAGGAGGAGGAGCAGGAGGAGATGGAGGAGGAGATGGAGGAGGAGGAGGAGGAGGAGGAGGAGGAGGAGGAGATTTGGTCACTCCTGCTCCTCCCTTCTTCAGCCGAGGTGCGCAGGTTCGCTTTTCGTCGTGCCTCTTCCGTAGGGCACGGTGGGGCTCGAGCCCGCCCACGGGTGCTCACAGCGAGCTGAGCTCGAGGCCCCCATCCGCCAGACGTGGTTGTCTGTGGGCGCTCGTGGAAGCGCATGCGAAAACATGTGACTCCTTGTCCTCCTCCTCCTCCTCCTCCTCCTCCTCCTCCTCCTCCTCCTCTTTTGTTTTCGGGAAATGACTCGGCCCTCCGGTGACCGTTCGGGAGCTCGAAAACCGGCGAGGACCGTCAAGCCTCGGACCTTCTCCTTCTCCTCCTCCTCCTCCTCCTCTTTCTCGTCGTCGTCGTCCTCCTCCTCCTCCTGCTCCTCCTCCTCCTCCTCCTCCTCCTCCTCCTTGTATTCCTTTTTCCTTAAGAATAACTCATCCCTGTCGCACCCCGAGCCCCATCGGAAGAGCGGGCCGTGTGCTTCGCGTGAGACTTCCTTCCCGCTTCTGTGCCTCAAACTCTAAAATTAACAACCGTTTCGCAGATGGAGGGCGGGTCATGTCCAACATGTGACTCTCGCCTGGACGCCATGCACATTCGTTTTAAAATTGTGCAAGAGCTTCACGGATAAGGACAGGTGGTTTTCAACATGTGGCTCTAGCGCCGCGCACATTCGTTTTCAAAACCTTGCAAGAGCTTCAAGGATTGATGGCGGCTCCTTGTCAAAATGTAGCTCTCGCTCCAGTGCCGCGCAAATTCGATTTCAACAGTTGCAAGAAATTCACGGCTTGAGGGCGGTTCCTTTCAAAATGTGGCTTCCGCCCCAGCGCCGCGTACATGTTTAAAACACGCTGCAAGAGTTTCGCCCATTCTCATAGTTAGCGTACCAGAAAGTGGGTTCTCGAAATATTCAGAGTTGTAAGGGCGCAGCAGTTACGTTGCCTCGAGGTGCTGAAGCCACGGGAAAGAAGTTCTGGCACGACTCAGGACCGTCAAGACGCAACAGTCAGGTTGACTCGTGGCGTTGAAATAATGAGAATATGCCACCTTGCCGCTGGGCACGGAGCGGGCGTGTCCTCAAGTCCTTCCATACCCTTCTGAGCCTCAGTCGTCACTCCTGAGGAGTTCGTTGGGATTCGGAGCCTCTCGGGCCAAATCTTCTGTGGCAGCCCGCGGTAACCCCGCGCCTTGTCGCATGACCCTTTCGAAACCCGAGAGGACCCCAAGACGGGCCGAGAGGGCTCCCAAGAGGCCTCCAAGACAGCCGAAGACGACCTCGAGTCGCCGAACGATCGCCCCAATACGCCCCAGATGGCCCCTGGACGGCCAAAAAGGCTTTCAAGACGCCCCGAGAGGTCTCCAAGAGGCCTCCAGAGAAGGCCCCAAGAGGCCAAAATCATACATTGCCCATCGGTCATTCAAGGGTGTTTCAGGTTCTCGTTTTTCCGGCTTCCCTACAAGCCCCCAAAGTCGCCCCAAGGCGGCCCAAGAAGCTTCCAAGACAGCCCTATGACGGCCCAAGAGGGCCCACAAATTGCCCAAGAGGCATCCAAGACAGCCCCTGAGGCTCTCAAAACGGCTCCATGAGGGACCCGGACAGCGAACCCGAACGATCGTTTCAGCCCTCGGCCCCAAGACGCCCCCAGGAGGCCACAAGAAGAGGCCCTCCAAAGGCCCCAAAAAGGCCCCCAGGAGACGCCAAGACGGCCGCCAAGAGGCCTCAAAGCTGCAAAGCTGCTTCCAAGAAGCCCATGAGGAGCCTGCTACGAGATCCCGACGAATACCCCAGAGGCCCCAAAGGCACATACTGAGACCCGTACCACCAGATCCCTACGATCACTCCAAAGGTTTTCGGTCGACACCACTCGCAGCGTGCAAACAACATGCCTCAAGAGGTACTTCGTTGATACCACGTGAAACGTACAGACGATGTGCTTCAAAGGGTGCCTGCCTGGTACCACTTCAGACACATAGTCGGCACGCCTCCAGGGGTAGTTCTCTAGCACCACCAGAGGCAACCTCCAATGGTACTTGGCCGGTACCACTTGAAGCATACAGTCGACGTGACTCAAACGGCATAGAGTCGGCATAAGTAGTATCACTTCGACCATTCGGGAGGACAGTCTCAGGTCTACCCACGATCCAGGCACGGTGGCGGGATGGGACCGAAGGCCATTAGATCATGTGTTAAGACGCTTCTAGATCTTCAAACGGTTGTCTCCCAACGGGGCACTTCCCTCAGTGGACGTGAATCCTTGTAGGGGGCCATGCGGAGGGAGCTTGGAGGGAAGGTATATTCCAACATCGTTGATGAGTCTTGGGTTTGCACTGATCGTCCTCCTCCTCCTCCTCCTCCTCTTCCTCCTCCTCCTTTCCTCCTCCCCCCCGTCTTGTTATTATTTCTATATATATATATATGATTATTCCTCTTCTTCTTCCTATTATTATTCGCATTATCATTCTGATTATTCTTATAATCCTCCTCCTCCTCCTCCTCCTCCTCCTGCTCCTCCACCTCCTCCTCCTCCTCCTCCTCCTCCTCCTCCTCCTCCTCCTGCCCGTCCTCCTCCGCGCGCGCCCCTCTGCCCCTCCTGCGCCCGGCTGGTCCTGAGGGCCGCGGCCGTGCGCCGGCCCGGTGCCCGGGGGCGGGCCCGAGAACTCCCTGGCAAAGCCCGGGGGCTGGCCCTGGTAGGGCTGCTCTGTCGGCCTCGGGGGCGCCAGGAACTTTCGCACAGCTCGTCGCGGCGACGGCTCCAGCGACACGCGGGCCGTGCCATGCGACTAGGTGGCGTGCCGCTCCGCTCCGCGGGGCGTCAGGCCCAGAAGTGTTCGGGGAGCACTGGCGCTGGCGCTGGGGGACCGCGGCGTGAGCAGGGCGTCGCGGCGAGGCGTGGTGGGCCACGAGTGGGCCACAAGTTTCGGCACGCTGTTGAAAGTTCCTGGCCACAAGTGAGCCTCCGTCCCCTCTTCCCTCTTCCTCCCTCCTCTCCAGACTCGCGTCGTGGAACAAAAAAACACGACAAGATGTTTTTGGCCGTCGTCGGCCCTCGGAGGCCCTCGCTGGGCCCAGGGAGCGTCAACAAAGCTACTCTGGGTGCAAGCCGGGCCCAGGGAATGGATGGGGACCTCTGGGGGTCGACGCTGCGAAAAGATCATGACGTCGGGGGTCTGGGAAGTGCTCCTCCGTCCTGCAAGCTCCCTCTCTCCTCCTTCCTCACTCCCTCCCTCACTCATCCCTCCCACCGCCTCCTCCCTCCTCCTTCCTCCCTCCTTCCCCCCTCCCTCCCGCCTTCCTTCTTTCCCCCTGCCCCTCTCGTTTGCGTCCTCCCGCCCGCGGCCTGGGGTTGCCCCTGGAGTTCACGTTGTGCGCGTGCTCCAGGGGGTGCGCCGAAGTCGGCGGGGCCCAGCCGCGATGGGCGTCGGGGCCTGCCGAGGGCGGGGGGGGCGTGGCGGAGGGGGGGGGGGCAGGAGGAGGAAGAGGAGGAGGCTCGACGTTCGCGGAGGAAGAGGAAGAGGCTCGAGGAAGAGGCTCGAGGAAGAGGAGGAGGAAGAGGAGGAGCCTCGCTGTTCGAGGAAGAGGTCCGTGGGCACCCCGACCTGCGACGCCCTGACTGTTGGCAGCGCGGGGTCCCCCGGAGAAGTCCCCCACCCCCCTCCCCCCGAGAGCCGGGTCTCCGCCCCGAGCCCGGCCTCCTCTCGGCAGCCAATGGCGAGGGCCGCGCGAGGGCCCCCCTCCTAAGTGGGGCGGCCGGGGACGGCCGCCGAGAGAGCCGCGGCGCCCCGGGCTCTCTTTTTGTGTGCCTCTCCAGCGGCGCGAGCAGGCCTGGGGAGATTTGCAAAAAAAACGAAGGATTGCAAAAAAAACGAAGGGCTTTTTTTGCAATCCTTCGTTTTTTGCAATCTTTTTGTGTGCCTCTCCGGCGGCGCGAGCAGGCCTGGGGAGTGCGGGGAGGAGTACCAACCGGTCGGAAGAAGTAGGTACAAAAACATGATGTAGGAAGGCGTTGGGAGCAGGTTGGGCCCCCGCCCGCCCCCCCGAAGAGGAGGGAAAAGGGGAAGCCGCGCGATCATTGAGGTAGGAAGGCGCATAAAGTGGATTGGAATATGGAGATCCAAACTTACCTACTTTCAACGACCGATGGGTATCGCTGAACCGATCCCCATCCCCAGCGGCGTGACCCGAGGCCTGGGAACCCCACTGGTCGATTGACCTCCCTGGACGGGGATACAGGTCTCATTCCCTTCGGGCCTCGAGGGGCGTATATCCCCGACTGGGGTGGTGATTTTTGTTGCGGGGGTCTCGAGGGGGATAGGGGATGGGGATGGGGATGGGTTCGACGACACCGAGGGGAAGGACCCCCCCCGAAGGGCCGCAGAGGCCGCCCGAGGATACCGCCCGAAAGCGGAGGCGGCGGGGCCTTGCGGCGGGCCCGCGGGAGGCGCGGCCGCGTTCCCGTAGGCCGCGCTGAAGTAGTTCGCGGGGGCCCCTGCGCCGGGCTGGCTGCCGCCGCGAACCTCGGGAGGCAGCCCGAGGCCGCAGAGGCCCAGATCTCTGGGGGATGTCTTGGCCAACGAGCGGCGAGCATGCGCCCTCGCTGTTCGGGCTCTGGGGCGTGGTCCCGCCGATGCGTGGTCTCACGGATGATGCGTTCCGTGGGGGGGGCATCCGCGAGGAGAACAAGCGCCCCGTATCTGCGGGGTCGCGGCCCAGGATACGGATCTGCTGTTCGCCCACGACGAACCCCCGACACAGCAATCGGCGGCGCGCACAAGGGGGTAAGGGGAGGGGGAGGCTTCTTAGAAGGATGCTGCTTCTTAGAGGACGCTGGCCCTACGTCTACAGATGAGGCCCGCGCCCTCTTAGGAGCAGGGGTGGTTCTAAGAAGCCTTCCAACCCTCCCCCCACCCCCTCTGCGCGCGGCTGAACAAATGTGAATGGTTCATCCGCTTCCTCCGGGGTCATCAGACATGCTTCATGGGCGAAGAACGACCCCCAGGGAAGGGGTCGGGACCTCTTCGGGACATGCCGGTCAAACGTGGGCCACCATTGGGCCAGGGAGCCGATTGGACAGAATGGTAATGCACACAACTCATCTGGAGGCGGGCTCGCCCCTGGCACCCTAGGCCCGAGAATGTCCATGTCCACTGCCTCCTGGAGCCCTGGGACGTCAGCTCTCCGGGACCGCTGATATGTGCAGCCCCAGACACGCGACGTCCTGCATCGTACACGACGGGGTCCCTGGCCCGACCCCACAGTAGGAGCTCGACCATAAGAAACCTTCCACAAGAAACCCAACTCTGAGACCCCAGGACGTCCGCTGGTTTGGTGTGGGAACGCAGCGCTTTCCATCGCACGACCACCGAAATCCAAGAACCCCAGGGCACCCTGGAGGCGAGCAAGGTGTTTCTTTAGAGAGCAGAAAATCCACCCCCATAATAAGCACCCCGACAAGCGAAGCCGTTTAGTAAACGCACCCATGGCAGGAATCGAACAGGGAAGGGCTGTTTAGTAAACGCCCAGGGCTGTTCAGTGAACGCGAATTGTCGGGGTCGGGGTGGTTTTTCCACCCTTGATTCTTGGCATGGGCTTCCACTGTAATTATCCCCCATGGGGCTGGCTTCTCATCCCGGGTCGTTGTCTGACGGTCCCGCGGCATGGCGGGGGGCCGCCGAGGCCGAGGAGGAGGAGGAGGAGGAGGAGGAGGAGAGCAGGAGAGGAGGAGGACGAGGAGGAGGACGAGGAGGAGGAGGAGGAGAAGGAGGAGGAGGAGGAGGAGCAAGAGGACTGAGCAGGGACCGCCCGTCCCGGCATTCCTGCTGGCAGATTCCCGGGGTAGACCGCACGCGGCCTGGCATGGCCAAACACCTTCCGCCCCATCTTCTTCGCGGCGCAGGCACGCCTGGGTGCACGGGCAGGAGCTTCGGCTCAGCGCCTCGCGGCGGCGTGCCCCCGCAGCACGCGGCGCCCTGCAAGCGGGCAACGCGTCGCTCCGCTTCGCGGGGCGGGCGGCCGGGAGAGGCTCGGGGCGTGGACGCATGGAACCGGGAACGTGCACAGTGGAGACGCGGAAAGAAGGACCGCTCAGGGCTCAGCGAGGGGCCGCGACGTTCGGGCCGTGCCCGAAAGTTCCGCCGGGGAGCCCGTCGGTGGCCCAGGCCCGCCGCGGCCCAGAGAAAAAAAAAAAAAAAACAAAAAAAAAAAAACAAAAAAAAAAACGCCGTCGCACACCAAACGTTTTCCTTGGGGTAGCACGATGACTCTATAGTTACGTCGGGCGTGTCCCCCTACCGGGGGGGTTTTGGACGAAGAATGTCCCAACATAGCCAAACAGTGTTCAGAAAAAAAATCGTCCCCTGACTATTTGTAACTATTTTTGAATACTCCTCCTGTAGAGGGACAGGCCCGACTTAAATCTGCAGCATGGCGCGCCGAAGCGTGGTGGGCCAGAGCCGCGCAGCGACACGCGAAGCCAGAGCCCCGGGGCGCACGCTCTTTGACGCCGACCTCGTCGGGCGCAGCTCTCCTGGAGCCTGGCCTCAGGACGGGCACGTTCTCCCACAGGCGGATCTCGCAGGAACAGTTACCAAATAGTCCAAACGTACCCCAGAAATGCTCAACAGTGGTGCTACCGTCGCCCCCCGCCTCTCTTGTGACTATTTTGGCTACTCCTCCTGTAGAGGGGACAGGCCCGACTTGAAGCCTGGCTCCCTCGCCTGCTCGCTCCCTGGGGGGGGAAGGGGGAGAAGGGGGCGCGGCGAGGTCTCGACCCGCCGACCCACTCGAGAGAGGACCTCGGCTGCCGGCCCCGATAGTGGCGGGCCGAGAGGCCCGAGGCCTGCCGGTCCGCCGCAGCGGCCCCGGCGGGCAGCGCGCGCCGATCACCGAGGACCTCCCCAGAGATCCAGCGCATCGAAAAAATCAAAACGGGCTTTTGTTTCTAAAATGTTGGCCCCTCGTTAGGCGCGCTCGCTGGGCTTCGGGACCGTCAAAAAACGACTCGGGATGAAAAACCGGTCCTGGGGATATGATGTTCCAACCTACTTTAGCCTCGACCACCAGAAAGAATTTCGAGCACGAGAAACAAGTACCGAAACTCAAGGGTTTTCAGGTGTCGGGTACTGGGAGAAACTCTTCCGACACTGCTTCGACACTGTTTCGACACTCGTTCGACACTTTTCCGGGTGCTCGAAATTAGGATGTGGTCCGTAAGTACGATGGGAGCAACTATATAGTCCTGGGGAATGAGTCAAGACTGCCAGGGACCGCGCCTTCGAAAAATCACGACGTCGGATCTCTGGGTCCCTGAAATGAATCAAACCAGTGCTTGCACTGAAGGGGTCCTATAGCGGAAGCTGAAAGATTTGGCGGAAATTTCCCGCCGATTTTGGTAGCAGGCTGGGTTCCCGGGTTCCCGGTTCCGGGTGCCCGGGTTCCCGGTTATTGGTTCCGGGCCGACTTCGGTAGGTTCTGCAGATTGGGCGTGACTTGACGGGGGGGTCATAAACGGGGGGGTCAGAAACGGTCCCCTTTCGTGCCCTCTTCGGGCCCCTCCGGAGCCCCAGGGGGCTCGTTTAGGTACCGTTTGGATACCTTTTCGGACCACCCTCGCCACTACCCCCATTTACGATCCCCCCATTACGCGACGCCCAAACAGAACCCACCGAAGTCGGCCCAGAAACCCACGGGTTTCCGGGCTCCCGGATTCCCGGTCGACCTCCTCAGCGAAAACCATCCACTGATTGGGGCTTCCCTCTGGTATACAGAAACTGTCCGACGGTCCGCGCGGCTTTCTTGGATCCGCGCGGGGCCCCCTCCCTGGCGCGCGGAGCCAAGGAATCCGGAGGCGGCGCCAGGGGGGCCCAGCGCGGATCCAGGGCATCCGCGCGGACGGTCGAGAGTCTTTTGTGCTTCTGGCGCTTGCTGTTTCCTCTTCGGGCGCTTCTGCCTCGCGTGACGCACTGCTGCCCGGCGGCCGAGCAGCGCTGCAGCCCCGGCGGGGTGTATAGAGAGGCTCCCCGTCGAGCGCCCTGAGCGGAGACGAAGGTTGGGCCTGGATGCAGGGGTCAGTCAGGAGGGGAAAAAACACACACTTAATCCTCGGTTCCCCAGAAAATATGGAAAAATGTGGGAAGTGAGGGGGAAGACAAAAAAAAATCCAGAAACTCCAGTCAGGCCCTGCACCCGGAGGGGGCGCGTGAGGCCCTGGCCCCAACCTCGAGGGCTTGCATCAGCCCAGAGCGAGAAGCGACCTGCTCCACGACGATGTTTTAGCTCTCGGCATCTGGTCGGGCATCGGCTCCGCTACTTCCTCCCCGGGGTCCCGACGCGGCCTGCAGGAGTCTCGCTCTGCTGCAGGCCGCCCGTGGATCCGAGGTCGAGGTCCCCGAGGGGAAGCGCCTGGCACCCGCGGGCGGCCACGAGGCACAACGTCGGCGGAGCGCCCGCATGCCGGCGGGGCACAACGTCATGCGCGGGCTCTTCGCTCCGCGACGCCTCGACTTCCCCTTGTGCTGTCGACGGCGTCGGCCTTGCCGATCTCGATGGTGGGCATGCCGATGCCGCCGGGAGAATTCGGCCTCGTCGATCGGTCCCGGCGGGCCGGGGGTTTGAGTTGGCAAGTCTCCCAGCCACTGCGGGTGGAAGGAAGAGGAGCCAGCTCGAGGAGGAGGAGGAGGAGGAGGAGGAGGAGGAGGAGGAGGAGGAGGAGGAGGAGGAGGAGGGGGAATCAGGAGGAGGGAGGGAGGATGGACGAGGGAGAAGCTGGAGGAGGAGAAGGGAGTCTAGAGGAGGAGGAGAAGAGAGGAGGAGGAGGAGGAGAGGAGGAGGAGGAGGAGGAGGAGGAGGGGCGAGGGGCGAGGGGCGAGGGGCGAGGGGCGAGGGGGGGGAGACGGAGCAGAGGTGGAGAAGGGGGGAGCAGGCCGAGCCCCACTGGCCCTGCAGTTTGGGCCGCCCCGGGAGCCAGGGGATTGTGGCTGTCGACGCTGTTGAAGCTCGTGCCTCCGTTTGTCCCCCTCGCAGGGGGCACAGCAGAAGTGCGCACCACCAGGACCTCCCCCTCCTCGCAGGTTCTGAGGCTGCATGGCTCCCCTCCTCCTCCTCTTCCGCTTCCTCTCCTGCTCCCCCTTCCCCCACTGCCCCCCCTCCTCGTCCTGCTCCTCCTCCTCCTCCTCCTCCTCCTCCTGCTCCTCTGGCTGCTATTCCTCCTCCTCCTCCTCCTTCTCATTATCCTCCTCCTCCTCCGTTTTCTTCCGAAGGCTGTGCGAGACCCAGCCACAGTTAGCGTCAGCCTCAGCGGCCGCTGCTGGGCGGGCTGCTTTATGTCATCCGTGGACGACGTCCGCGGCACCGACAGCGAGAAACTGCTGCTGGTCTTTGTACCCATTCTTTCCGCACCCATTTCGATCGTCACTAGGATAGGCCAGATTGTGGGATTCAGCAGAGCTGTGCCAGATTAGGCCAGTTTGGGACGGGTCTACCAGCGCTGATGCGGATTCCAACCTCCCAGGAGTTGCGTCCCAAGGTTGAAGAGGAGGAGGAGGAGGAGGCCCTGGCCCTGGCCGTGGCACGCTGCTGGGCCGAGGAGGGCCTCAGGAACGGGTGGCTCAGCGCCTGGTCGGCGGTGAGCCTGTCGCCTGGACGCACCTGCAGCATCCGCAGGATGAAGTCCTGGGCGCCCTTGGAGACGTTCTTCCAGGCCTGGCCCCCACGAGGAGAGCGCGGGGCCCACGAAGACTCTGCGATTGCGAAGCTGATAGAGGGTAGGAGCACGCCTGCGTAAACATGCTGCTAGCCAGCGTGGACCTCAAACAGTGAGTTGATGCACTGCGGTGCAAGCTAAGTGATGTCAGCTACGCTGTGCGAGCTGTGGAAGCGAAAGCCACGCTCTTTTTGTATCATGTGATGTGAGCTGCGTCGCGCAGGCTGTGTGGTGCAAGCTATCTGGTGCAAGCGCAGCGCACGGGGAACCCACGAGCGCCCGCGAAGCGACACGGGCGGCAGCGTGGCGCGGCCTCGCCAGACCCACCCGACGCACGCAGCGCCCACGAGCGCCCACACGGGGCGGCACGGGCGGCACCGTGGCGCAGCCTCGCCGGACCCACCCGACGCACGGGGCGCCCACGCGTGCCCGCGAAGCGACACCGGCGGCAGCGTGGGGCGACTTCGGCGGACCCACCCAGCGCACGTGGCGCCCACGAGCGCCCACGATGCGGCACGGGCAGCAGCGTCGAGAATTCTCTGCGGAGCCGTCGGGTTACAGAAGCAACCGAAGTAAGAACCTCCGCGCGCCAGGGGGACCGCCGGGAGCACCGCCAAGGAGAACGCGCGCGGGGAGGAAACGAACGTCGGCCAGTAATCGACGACGCATCGCCCTCAGATTGGCAGCTGGCACCCGACGGCGAGACACCATGCTTCCCGGCGTGGTGGAGCACCAAAGCCCCGATCGACGATGAATGGGCGATCAGGGGTCGACGTTCCTGAGACATTCCCTCCCCCCCCCTTTCAGCGCTACTGAGCTCGGGAGGTCCATGTCTCGTTCATCGGCCCTCCTCCTGCTCCTGCCCCTCCTCTTGCTCCTCATCCTCCTCCAATGCCAGCTCCAGGAAGCCAATGTCAGGCTCGACGACCCTCCTCCTCCTCCTCCTCCTCCTCCTCCTCCTCCTCCTCCTCCTCCTCCTCCTCCTCCTGCGCCCCCCCCCACCTCAAGAGACGTCCCAAGAGACGTCCTCCTCCTCCTCCTCCTCCTCCTCCTCCTCCTCCTCCTCCCAGTGCTGCTCCTGCTCCTCCTCCTTCCAAGGCCTGCTCTGGGAAGCTCAGGTCCCGCTCCACGATCTGCCGGTAGAGCTTGTGGAGCACGTTGTGGAAGAACGGCAGGGAGCCGCTGAGGAGCACGTAGGCGATGACGCCGACGGTCGGCGGCGGGCAGAAGCGGACCATGGGCCAGGGGGGTGGTCCGCTGAGAGGGCGGGGAACCCAAAGATCCAGCGCATTGGAACAATCAAAACGTTTTTTTTCTAAAAAAATCGGCCCCTAGGCGCCCTCGCCGGGCGTCGGGACCGTCAAAAAACGACTCAGGATGAAAAACCGGTCCTGGGGAATGAGTCAAGACTGCCAGGGACCGCGCATTGAAAAAATCACGGCATCGGATCTCTGGGAACCTTCTGAGAAGAGACCAGCCCCCTCCCAGAGGTGCCCAGGAGAGCCCCTCGGCAGGCTGGAGCCTGGCTGTCGTCTAGGAGGCGGGGGGCCCTCTCCGACGGGACCAGCCCCCTCCCCGAGGTGTCCAGGGAGGCCCCTCTCTCTGAGGCGAAATGGCGTCTGAGGAGGCGGGGCGCCTTCTTGGACAGGATCAGCCCTCTCGTGGAGCTGTCCATAAGGTTATGTTGCCCCCATCGTACTTCAGGACCACCTCGCAGAAATAATTTCGAGCACCCAGCAAAGTGTCGAAACAGTGTCGTAACAGTGTCAAAAGTGTATGTTTACGTGGTTGCTTCTTCTTCCATTCATAACAGCTACCACACCCCCATCCTCCGATCTCTCCCTCCACCATCAGCTGTCCAGTATCGACTGCCTCACGCTTTCCCCCTCTCCTGCATCCGTGCAGGCAAGGGTACCCCCCTCGAACCACGATCGGGCCAGGACGCCCTTACATCCTGCTGTCGGCCTGCCTCCACGATCTTCGTGGACCGCTCCGTTCCCATCGTTCTGTCCATGCGCTCGAGTCGTCCCACCTCTGGGGCTCCACAGGCGATCCACTGCGCAGTGAGGAGCCTCCCCTCCTGCGCACGCCCAGGCTCGCTCCTGCGCGCCGCCGGGACGGCCCAGATGTCGATCTCCCGGCCGTACTCCTCCTCGGGGAGGGCGCGGGCACATCCTGGCGCCGCTGCGCCCGGGGCACCTGCCTCGGTGCGTTCGATTGCGTGCGTGCCAGGACTGCCGGGCGCATGCGGCCGGCGGCTGTATGCCGGTGCGTATATACGCAAATATGCAGATGTATGGATAGGTTTATGGATGGTTGCAATTGTGTTCTCTTTAGAACAATTTTTACCAAAACACACAAACACACAAACACACACACACATGTATACATATACATATATATATAACCACTATATATATATATATATATATATATATAACCAAAAACGCCGACGCCACCGTTCCTCTGGGCACGGAGTTGGCATGTCCTCAGGTCCCCTCACTACCCCTCCAAGCCTCTGTCGTCACTCCGGAGTTGTCAGGGGTTCGGAGCCCCTCGGCCCAAATATCTTGGGGCTCAGACCGTAGAGGGCCCCAAAACGGACCAAGAGGGCCCCAAGAGGTCCTGGGCGACTCTAGGGCCGTCTTGTGGCCAATCTTGGGCCCTTTCGTCCGTCTTGGGGCCCTCTTGGAGGCCTCTTGGGCAATCTTGGCAGCCTCTTGGGACGTCGTGGAGCGCCGGGAGCTCGAAACATCGAGATCCTCCCAAACAGTGGAAAACCACATGGGAATCTCTCGGGGCCCTCTGGGAAGCGCTCGTCAAATCCTCTTGCGCCGTCTGTGGGCATCTGGCCACGGGTGACTTGTTGCTTCGGGATCCTGCTCTTAGGCCCCTCTTGGGGCCATATTGTGGCCCTCTTGGGTGCCTCTAAAGCCGATTTGGAGCTTTCTTGGGCCGTCTGGGGGTCGTCTTGGCCCATCTTGGGGCGGTCGTGGGGGCCTCTTGGAACGTCGTGGACGTCGGAAGCTGGACAAGTCAAGAACCCCCACACATTGAAAAACTTAAAGAATAACATTACGTCTTGCCTTTGGGGGCCTTCTGGGGAGCGCACGTCGAGTCCTCTTCGGCCGTCTTGAAGCTATCTGGGGCTGTTCAGAAGCCACGCGGAGCATCTATAAGCCGTCTGGTGTGACTCTGACGCCACTTAAGGTCGTCTGGGCGGGTCCCTGGCCACTGGAGAGGGTCCCTGGGAAGCCCAGAGTACCTATAGCGACACGAGGCAGCTGGGCGAAGGACCTCGACCCTGTGACCCGATACATGCATACATACATACATACATACATACATGCATACATTACATACATACACACATACATACAAGCACACATACATACGTACGTACAGACAGACCGACAGACAGACAGACAGGCAGACAGTCATATAGGCGGTCAGGCAGACATACATGCATACACGAATACCGACATACATACATAACTACATAAATACATGCATGTGCACACATACATACATACATACATACATACATACATACATACATACATACATGCATGCATACAGACAGGCAGACAGACATACATACATACACATATACATACATACGCACATACATACATACATACATACATACATACATACATACATACATACATATATATATATATATATATATACATACATACACACACATACATACATATATACATACATACACACATATATACAGACATACATACATACATACATACATACATGCATACAGTACATGCATACATACAACACATTACATACAGACAGGCAGACAGACAGAGGAACAGGCATGCACCCATACATGCATACATAAATACATACGCACATGCATGCATGCATGCAGACATGCATGCCCGCGCACATGCATACATACATGCATGGGTCCATGCATACCGACAGGCATACATATACACACATGCTGGCATGCATACATGCGTGACCAGAAGCAGCGATGCAGTATTGTGTATACACATGCCCCTGCATGTATGATCACCTGTGGTTGAATGTATGTATGCATGTATGTATAGACATATATGTATGGATGTATGTGTGTGTCTCTATGTGCGTATGTATGTATGTATGGATGTAGTGATGTATCGATTGTTGGATGCAGGCCGGTAGGCATGTACGTATGCAGGTATGTATGCGTGCATACATGTATGTATGTGTGTATATGTAGGTGCACATGTAATATGTATGTATGTGTGCATGCATGTATGTATGAGTGTGCGAAAGGACATAAGCACGTGTGTGATTACATATGCAAGGTTGTATGCGTGTAAGTGTGTATAAAGTCATGCAAGGATGTATGTACGCATGTGGATGTATGTATGCATGTACGTGTGCACATCTGCATGGATGTGTGTATGTAAGCATGCATGTATGCTTGTATATCTGGATGTATGCATGTATCTGCATATATGGATGGATGTATGGAGTTGTGTAAGAATGTGCAAATGCGTGTACGCATGTACGTATGCGTATGGGTAGATATGCCTGCATGCCAAGTATGTATGGATGCATGCATGCATAAATTCATCTACGTATGCAGGTATGGATGGATGGATGTACATGCTGACGCATGTCTGTATGCATGCGTGCATGCATGTATGTACATGTACGTTTTCAGTGTGCATATGTGTCTGTATATGTATGTGTAGGTGTGTGCATGGGTGTGTTTATGTATGTATGTGTATGTGTATGTGTATGTGTATGTGTATGTGTATGTGTATGTGTATGCGTATGCGTATGTGTATGTGTATGCATGTATGCATTACGCAGTTACGTATGTATGTATATTTGTGTATGCATGCATGTATGTATGTATGCGTGCATGTATGCATGTATGTATGTATGCGCATGCATATGTATGCATGTGTGTGTCTGCCTGTCTGTGTGCCTGCCTGCCTGCCTGGCTGCCTGTATGTCTGTAATATATATATGTATGTATGTATGTATATATATACACACACATACGTATGCATGCATGTATGTTATCCTCCCCCAGCTCCTGCTTGATCACCTCGGGCGCGGCAGGAGGAGCAGAAGAGCACGAGCCAGGGGCAGGAGGAAGGGCGAGGGAGGCGAGCAGGAGAGGCGCGAGCAGGAGAGGCGAGGGCGGGCACGGAGGAGGAGGAGGAGCAGGAGCAGCGGGAGCAGCCAGAGGAGGAGGAGGCAGCGGGGTCCGGGAGGGCAGCAGGGGGAGAGGCAGCGAGGCCAGGGATTCGCTGGAATCCGCTGATAATATCCATAGAGTGTGGGAGCGAACGCAGCTATCATCTAACACCCCAGGCGGCGGGCCACGGAGGCACCAGGAGGCAGCGGGGTCAGGGAGGGCACCAGAAGGAGAGGCAGCGGGGTCAGGAGCGGATCGGGCGCGGCCTAACCGACCCCCCGCAAACTATCCCCTTTCCGTGGCGCCGCCCTCGCCGTTCAAACTCCCCCTCGGCCGCACACATGCGCTGGAGGAGGCAGCGGGGTCAGGGAGGGCATCCTGGCGGCGCGCACAGGAGGGCAGGGGGAGGGGGGAAGGCTCCCTAGGAGGAGGCTGCTTCTCAGAAGGCGCCGACCTTGTATCCATGCACAGGGCCCGCGCCTTCTAAGACGCAGGGGTGCTTCTGAGAAACCGTCCCTCCTCCTCCTCCATACTCCCGGGGGATGCGGAGGAGGGGGATGAGGAGGAGGAGGAGGAGGAGGAGGAGGAGGAGGGGGAGGAGGAGGAGGCAGCGCAACCTGCCTCCGGCGCCGCCCTGACGGCTCCTGCTGCGGGGCCGACCTGCGCGCGGACCCTGGGCATCATCTGGGCTGCCCAGTCGGAGGCGGCACTGTGCTGAAGCACGACGGCGTCCGCGACTGGCTCACACGCTGGCTTGCGACGCGGGGCGCCGCGGGCGTGCGGACGGAGCAATTCGTCCCAGCCTGGGACAGACTGCGCCCTGACGGCACTCTGGAGGCCGCGCGGCTGGACGTGGCCTTCACCGACGCTGTCGCGGGGGTCACCTACGCCGACGTGGTGATCACCGACGCGTCTCTGGGCGCGGGCACGGCCGCGGGACGGAGCCGGGCCGCGCGCGACGGGGCTGCGGCGGCGGCGGCGGAGACGCGCAAGCACAGGCGCTACCCAGGCCCGGCCCTGGTCGCCTTTGCCTTGGAGACGCAAGGGCGAGCCGGGAAGGAGGCGCAGGCACTCCTGCGAAGCTGGGCAGCGGGCGACCCGGCGACGCTGACGGCGGCTCGCCAGAGCTTGGCCGCCGCCCTGCAGCGCGGCAACGCGGAGGCCTACCGCACGGCCGCCTTGCCTGCTGGCGCGGGGCGACGCCTTGCGGACCGCGGCGGCCCAGGGCCGCCTGGGCGCCGCGCCAGACTGGGCTGAGCTGACTGACCGCGGGAGAACGGGGCTGGCGCTGACCAGGCGCCGCGCTGGCGCGGCTGCTGGGCGCCGGGGGGCGGCGCGGCGCTGGACTGCGAGCTGAGGGCGCCCGAGGCAACTGCGGCAGGCCAGAGGGCGGCCAGCGCTGCACTGGACTCAGCACGCGCTGCGGGGAGGCGCCGATGGGGGCTGGACTGCCGAAGCGGCTGGCCGGGGAGCGGCCTGGGGCGCGCACGGAAAGGGCCGACGCCGAGAGCGCGGGCGCGCGGCCGGGCGCGGGAGGCGCTGGCCCAGCGAGCACGCCTCGGCCACGCACCACTGGAGCAGGGAAGTCATCCGGCCGGCGAACGGGCCTCGGTCTGGGACCCGGCCGGGAGGTGTCGTGGAGGGGCACGCCCTTGCCGTCGCGGTCGCGCCCAAGCTCTTCAGAGGGGGCGCGGCGCGACCTGCGGGAAAGGGCGGGCCGCGCGCGCGCAGAGCGCCCCCGAGGTCCCCCCGGAGACGGACCTCGGGGGCCCCGCAGCCGCGGGAGGAGGAGGAGGAGGAGGAGGAGGAGGAGGAGGAGGAGGAGAGGAGGAGGGAGGAGGAGGAGGAGGAGAGGAGGAGGAGAGGAGGAGGGAGGAGGAGGAGGAGGAGGAGGAGGAGGAGGAGGCCCCTGACCCCCCCTTCACGCCTGGCCGAGCATCCGGCGGAGGGGCAGCGAGACCAGGGGAGGTGAGGGGGGCACCGGACGGAGCAGGAGGCGCAGGAGGCGAGAGTGGCGAGCGAGCAGGGAGCAGAGAGCAGGAGGACGTCCAGCGCGGGCCTACCCGGCCTCTCCCCGAGGCTCGCGCGGCTCCGCGGTGCCCGCGGGTGCTCCCACTGGGGCGCGCGCTATATAGCAAGGGCCGGGGAGCGCCGCCCCCGAGATGCGGGCAACACTTTTTGTTTTGTTTCCCCCCCACCGCAACGAAATCGCCTGAAGGTTCGATTCGATCGCTCCGCGAGATGCGGGCAAGACTTGCGTCCATATCCACTGCAGCTTGGAGTCTCGGGCCTCCTTCCCCAGAAGCCCGAGGCGCACAGGATATGGGCAGACATCCGCGGTCCCCACAGGCTCGATGTTTATCCAGATCCAGTGCGCCTCGGCCTTGCGGCACCCCTTTCATCACCAGCCTGGAACATATCCCTATCCCTATGCTGGGCACCTCCTCATCACGATGCCAATCTTAGGGATGCCCATATTTTTTGAGGGCGGATCCCTAAGATTGTCATCGCCTTTTGGCGTGTCAACCTTACGGATAGGGATACGTTCGAGGCTGCTAATTCAAAAAAAAAATCAAGACGCACTGGATATGGATATAACGTTGGCGCGCCCCCGAGACGGGGCGGCAAAGGCCGCCCTGCCGGGGCGCGCCCGCTCTGCAACGGAGAAGCGGCACCTGCCGCCCAGCCACGCGCCCGGAGCCGCGCTGGCGTCTCTCCTCGAGCCCTTCGGGCCCTCAGGCTGCCAGCCTCGAACGTATCCCTATCCCTAAGATTGACACGCCAAAAGGCGATGACAATCTTAGGGATTCGCCCTCAAAGAGTAAGGGAATCCCTGATATTGGCATCGTGATGAGGAGATGGCCAGCATAGGGATAGGGGTATGTTCCAGGCTGGTAATCAGGGGGTCTCGAACGAAGCCCTGACAAGGAGGCGGCGTACCCTCCCTGCCCCGGCCGCCTCGGGCGCGAGGTAGAAGTCGGAGCCGCAGATGGAGTGCGACCGCGGCAGCCGTCGGGGGTAGTCCCTCGACATCTTGGCCAGCCCGAAGTCCGAGATCTTGACGTCCGTGTTGCTGACCTCCCCCTCCCCCTCCCAGCATCAGCGGTCTTTCCCGTGGAGGGACGACGACGGCGACAAGGATTCAAGCGGATTCAAGCAAGACCAAAGACCACGGCGTGGCGAGATGGCGCTCGTGCACAAGCTGGGGGAATCGACGAACCAGGATAATAATGTGAGTCAAACGGTCCCGACACGCGTACTACCTCCTGCCCCTCATCCTCCTCTTCCTCCTCCACCTCCTCCACCATCTCCTCCTCCTCCTCCTCATCCACATCCACATCCTCCACCTCTTCCGCATCCTCCTCCACCTCCTTATCATCATCAGTATCAGTCACATCATCATCATCATCATCATCATCATCATCATCAGCAGCAGCATCATCATCATCGTCATCATCATCAGCATCATCAGCGTCATAAACATCATCATCAGCAGCATCATCATCATCATCACCAGCAGCATTATCAGCATCCTCAGAATCATCAGCATCATCATCAGCAACACCATCATCAAGAACACCAGCATCATCATCATCGTAAACATTATCATCAGCATCAGTATCATCAGCAGCATCATGTTCATTATCATTATGATCACCACCATCGACATCAGCATCAAATCAATCATCAGCATACTCATCATCTTCATAAACAGCATCCTCATCACAAGCAGCAGCAACATCACCATTGTAAAGTATCGTAACCTGCATCATCACCATCATATCATCAGCATCCTCAGCATCAGCATCAACATCCTCAGCATCCTCAGCATCATCATCAGCAGCACCATCATCAGCAACACCATCATCAAAAACCTCAGCATCAGCATCAGCATCATCATCAACATCATCATAATCAGTATGATCACCATCATCGTCATCATCATCAAACTCATCAGCATCCTAATCATCATCATCTCATCATCATCATCAGCATCATCATCAGGAACAGCCTGAATAGTTTAGTCATCGCAATCAGCATCATCACCATCATTAGCACCAGCAGCATCAGTAGCACCAGTATCATCATCCTGCCGCATGTCCCACTTTGTCGCTCGTCCGCCGTCCTCCTCATCGATGCCCGTCTCATCGCTTGCCTCGTCCTGCTTATCCCCCCACACCCCTCCTCCTCATCACCATCATCATCATCATCATCCTCCTGTTCCTCCACCTCCTACTCCTCCTCGTCCTCGTCCTCGTCCTTTTCCTCCCCCCTTCCCCCCGCTGTTTTGTTTCTCTCTCTATATATATATATAAAAAGTGTTTCCCTCTCTCGCTCTCTCTCTCCCTCTCCTGCCTTCCCCCTTCTTCGTTCTCCCGACCTCTGAACAAAAACGTGTCCGGCGCGCATGCACCAGGCGCACGTTGTGGGTCCCCCCCTCTGCGCACGCACAATTCAGCGTGCGAAGGATCCGCCGGCCAGACGCCGGGGGCCGTCCCCATCGGGGGGCCGCGGAAACGCGTGAGAAAAGCGCGTGCCCCGCGCGCACGCGCCAGGCGCAGGTTCGAGGCCCCCCCGTCCGCACACACACACACACACACACACACACACACACACGTCTTACGTTCAAGAAGGCCGCCGGCCCAAATTCCCCCCCCCCCCCGCTCTGGGGGCCGTGGCCGCGCGAAGACACGTGGCCCCGCGCGCACTTGCCAGGCGCCTGTTCGAGGCCCCCCCCGCCCGCACACACACACGTCTTACGTTCAAGACAGCCGCCGGCCCAAAGTTCCCCCCCCGCTCTGAGGGCCGTGGACGCGCGAAAACACGTGACCCCTCCGCACGCGCCAGGCGCATGTTCGAGACCCCCCGCCCGCACACACATGTCTTGCGTTCAGGACAGCCGCCAGCCCAAAGTTCCCCCCCCCCGCGCTGAGGGCGGTGGCCGCGCGAAGACACTTTTGGTCTGCGGGTCGAGAGCGAGCCTCTTCCGGTTAAAAGCGGGCCGCGCGAAGACACGTGGCCCCTCCGCACGCGCCCGGCGCATGCTGGGCCTCCCCCCCCCTCCTCTGCACACTCCTCACCTCTGCGTGCGAAGAGTCCGCCGCCGACCAGAAGTCGCCCCCCCCCCCCCCCCCCTGGGGCCGTGGGCGCGTGAAAAGACACGTGCCCCGCGCGCCCGCGCCAGCCGCATGCTAGACCCCCGCCCTTTCCACGCACGCCTCTTGACATGTGAAGAATGGGTGTTCGAAGTCGGGTCCCCCCCATCCTGGGAGCCGTGGACGCGTGAGCACACGTGACCCGCGCGCCCGCGCCAGGCGCATGATGGTTCCCCCCCTCCACGCACGCATCCTTACATGTGGAAAAAACCTGCCGACCACAAGTCGGGGGCACCCCTGGGGGCCGTGGAAACGCGAAAACAACTGCCCCGCGCGCATGCGCCAGGCGCATGTTCGAGACCCCCCGTCGCGCACGCATTTCTACGTGTACGGAACCCGCCGACCAGAAGTTGGGTCTCCCCCAGGGGGCCGTGGACACATGAAACACGAGCCCCACGAGCACGCTCCAGGGGCACGCTGGGCACCCCCCTCCCCTGCGCGCAAACATTTTTGACGTGCGAAGGATCCGGCGACCAGAAGTCGCCCCCCCCCCCCCGGGGAGCCCGCTGTGGCGAGAAACGTGCGGAAGCACTTGCCAAACGAATGCGCGCCGAGACCCCCCCCTCAGCACGCGCATTTCTACATGTCAGACTCCGACGCCTACTACTCGACACTCTTCTGGCAACTACAGGGTCAGAGGACCGCGAACATAAAGAGAACCCTGGGCTGGAGCCCTTACCAGGAAAAAAATGCTCCAGTGCGACAATAAGGAGGAAGAGGAGGAGGAGGAGGAGGACGACGACGGCGACGAGGAGGGGAGGATCGAGGATGCAGATCTTAAGGCTGTCTGCTCCATGTTGTGCCTCCAGAGGCCTTCGGAGGCCTCCAGAGGTCCCCTCATTCATTGCCCTTCCCCTCGCCCTCCTCCTCCATCGCCGTTCTCCTGCTATGCCCCCCCTGCTCCTCCTGCTATGCCCCTCCTGCTGTCCCTACTGCTATGACTCCCCGCCATCTTCGTCCTCCTCCTCCTCCTCCTCCTCCTCCTCCTCCTCCTCCTCCTCCTCCTTCCTGTTCCCGCTGCCCCTCCGTTCAAGAGTGCGTGCTCTCAGCGCTTCTTACTCCCATTCCTTTCATGTGGGCACGCGATTTAAAAACACAACATGGGAGCGACACGATCTGCACAACAAAAGCTTCGCGGGCAGGGGGCGGGTAGGACCCGAGCAGACCGCGCGCTCGCGGCGACGCTCGAGCACTCTCGGAGCCCACGTTGACTGCATGGGGCCGGCCGGGCTCTGCCTGGTCGTCCGTGCTGGCGCCTCGTGCTGGGTGGGTCCTTGCTGGCGCCTCGTCGGCGCCTCGTCGGCGCCTCGTGCTGGCGCCTCGTCGACGCCTCGTGCTGGGTGGGTCCGCCGAGGCTTCGCCTCGCTGCCCGCCCGTGGGAGCCTCGTCTTGGGCTGCGCGGGCCGGCCGCGAGGGCGCCTCGTGGGCGCCTCGTGCGCGTTGGGGGGGCGTGCCGCCGAGCTGCAAGCCCGGTGCCCGCGCGTGGCGGGGCGCACTCGTGGGCGCCTCGCGGGCGCAGAGGGCGGCCCTGCCGGCCTTCCACCGCCACCACCAGGAGATTGGAGGGGGAGGGGGTCCTCCTCCTCCTCCTCCTCCTCCTCCTCCTCCTCCTCCTCCTCCTCCGCCTCCGCCTCCGCCTCCGCCTCCCCTCCTCCTCCTCCTCCTCCTCCTCCTCCTCCTCCTCCTCCTCCTCCGCCTCCGCCTCCTCCTCCTCCTCCTCCTCCTCCTCCTCCTCCTCCTCCTCCTCCTCCTCCTCCTCCTCCTCTCGGAAGCTGGGCGAGGGCTGCTAGAACCGTGGCTGCTAAAACGGCCCTCCCCGAAGGAAAACAACTTCCCGGAATGAGGCGCGGCACGCGAAGCAGTCAACGGGCTTCTTCCCGGAAGGACGAAGACAATTTCCCAGAGGTCGATTTTAGCAGCCACGGATTTAGCAGCCCTTGCCCGGTTTCCGATCCTCCTCCTCCTCCTCCTCCTCCTCCTCCTCCTCATCCTCCTCATCATCCTCCTCTCCTTCGCCTCCTCCTCCTCCTCCTCCTCCTCCTCCTCCCTCCTCCTCCGCCTCCGCCTCCGCCTCCGCCTCCGCCTCCTCCTCCTCCTCCTCCTCCTCCTCCTCCGCCTCCTCCTCCTCCTCCATCGCCTCCTCCTCCTCCTCCTCCTCCTCCTCCTCCACCTCCTCCTCCTCCTCCTCCCTTCCCCTCCAACTTATGGTGGTGGTGGCGGAAAACAGGCTCATCAGTTTGGGTGGCTGTGCCATGGGTGCCGTCCGATGCCCGCCAGCGGCCGCAGGAGGGCGCCTCGCGGGCGCCTCTCGGGTGCTGGGCGGCCGCGCAGACGGCGCGGTGCAGTGGTTCCGCACGGTCTGCACCAGGCAGCCTGCACCACACGGAGTGCACCGCCCGTGTGGCACCGCGCGGATTGCACCACGTGGCTTCCACCGCGCAGCTTGCCCCGAAGAGGCCCCAAGAGGCCTCCAAGAGGCCCCCGAGAGATTCCCAAGAGGCTCATAAGAGCCCCCCCCCCAAGATGCCCCCAAGAGCCGTCAAGCGGGCCTCCGAGAGGCATCCCGAGAGACACTCCGATGCATCCAAAGAGTCTCCTGACCCACAGCCCAGACACGATAGCAGGTTGGCCTGAAGGCCACCATGTAACTTTCACGATCCTCGCAAGTTCTCGATGCTTCTAGGGGTCTGCGGGATGGCGCAAACCACGTGAATAACTTACTCGTTCGGGCCAACGCTGGCAAACAGATGCGTACGTGTGCTGCTATGGTGTAGGATGCTTGTTGTTGGTTGTTCTCTCTCTCTCTCTCTCTCTCTCTCTCTCTCTATTTCCCTCTCACCATCGATCGGTCGCTCCTCCCACTACTCCCCCTCCCTCTCCCTCGCTACCTCGCTACCCCCCCCCTTTCTCCTCCATCCACGTTGGAGTCCTCGGCTCCTGCGGCGTCACTGCACCATGGTTCGTCGGCGATGTCCTCGGCGGCGAGTTCGATAGCATGTGGAATGCAGGCTCCTGGTGATCCATATGTGATTGGAGCCTGGCCAGCTGCGGGAGATCCACATGAGATCGCTGGAGTTGGCGTGCGAGGTCCACTGGCCTGCCAAGATTCAGATGAGCTGGAGAGGGCTGGCGTGATGGGCATAGGGCAGGACTGGAGACATCCTGCGGCGCGTGCCCCGCAAGAGCGAGGAGGAGGGAACGCCACCCGTCCCAGGCCGTCACGGCCTCCTCGCACAGGCAAATGATTGCTCGTGGTGCACTTCCTTCCGCTTGTCGTCGCCGCGGGCTTCGACATCAGAATGCTCTACAGCAAACTCGAGGAGGTTTGTCAGCCGCGAGCTGGCACGTTGCCGACGCCAGACTGCCCCTCGAGGCGCACGTCGTCCGTTCTTCCTCCGCCCCAGTCGTCCTCCCCAGGCTCCGCCGCCGCTCTCCTCCTCCGCATCCCTCCTCCTCCTCCTCCTCCTCCTCCTCCTCCTCCTCCTCACCCTCCTCCTCCTCCGTCTTCTCCCTCCTCCCTCATCCTCCTCCTCCTCCTCCTCCTCCTCATCCTCCTCCTCCTCCTCCTCTTCCTCCTCATCCGCCTCCTCCTCAGCGTCTTGCTGCATCGGGTCATGTCCGTCCAGCTCCTCTTCCTCTTCATCCGCACTCCTCTCATCCAGCCTCCTCCTTCCCTGTTCCTCGCCCTCGCCCTCGCCCTCCTCCTCCTCCTCCTCCTCCTCCTCCTCATCATCATCATCATCCTCCTCCTCATCCTCCGCCTCCCCCGCCTCTTCCTCCTCCTCCTCATCCTCCTCCTCCTCCTCCTCCTCCTCATGACCATCGCCTCACCATCAACGACGACATCTTCCACATCAGCATAGTCCGTTCCTCCCTCCATCTCTCCACCTCCTACTCCTCCTCCTCCTCCTCCTCCTCATCATCATCCTCCTCCTCGTACTAATCCCTCCCTTCTCACTCCGCGCTGCTCCTCCTCATCCTCTTCCATACCCCAGTATCCCTCCTCATGCTGATGCTCCTCCTCCTCCTCCTCCTCCTCCTCCTCCTCCTCCTCCTCACACCCGCCACATCGCCCTCCCTTCCCTCTCCCCCCCTCCTCATCTCCTCACCTCCTCCCTCTGATCGTCCTCTGTGCCCTGCTGCATCCTCTTCGTCATCCTCCTCCTCATCCTCCTCCTCCTCCTTCTCCTCCTCCTCCTGTGGCATATGCTCTGGAGGGGAGGCTGTGATCAGGCGAGGCTGCAGAATCGCTCAATGATGTGCTGCCATCCCAACCTGCAGAGTGGGCCCCTTCCATTCTTCTGAGCACGTCAGCTTTCGCTTCGGCTTCGGCTGTCGGTACCCCGTGGAGCGCCTTCGGGACAGCGCACTCGAGTCGGTATTCCGCTAACATGGGTGCCCCCCCCCCTCTCCTCGTCCTCGTCCTCGTCCTCGTCCTCCTCCTCCTCCTCCTCCTCCTCCTCCTCCTCCTCCTCCTCCTCCGCCTCCACCGCGTCCTCCTCCTCCTCCTTCTCCTCCTCCTCCTCCTCCTCATCCTCCTCATCCTCCCTCTTCATCCTCCTCATCCTTCTCTCCTCCTCCTTCTCGTCTCCTCCTCCTTCTCCTCCTTCTCCTCCTCCTACTCCTACCCTTATTCCGTAGTAGAATATACTCTTACTCCCCCCTCTGGCCGGCCGATAGGGGTTCCGTCCGGGCCCTCCCATCCCAACTCTCAAAAATCATTACAACGTCGTCGTTGTTTCTCTCAGCATGACTTTTCTTGTCGTCGTCGTTGCGAACTGCGTAGCAAGAGTAGGACGCGGCGCACATCGCGCGCGGCCGTCAATCCGGGCCCTCCCATCCGAACCGTAAAAAGAACAATACAAAGTCGTCACTGTTTCTCTCCACATGGCCTCTCTTGTCGTCGACGATGCGAGATGCGTAGCAGGACTGACGCCTCCTGAGGCTTCCTGGGGCCTCCTCGGCTCGTGCTGAAATGCCAGCGCAGTCTTTGAGACGCAACCGCCATCGCGGCGGCATCAGCTGTGGCAAACCACCTTGCCGAACTGATTTCGGTCTCCATTTGCGCCAGCGCTGTTTCGTATGTTGTGGGAGGGCGGGTGGGAATGGGCATGACATGCTTGACTCGCTCGAGCTGGCTAGCTTGACTCCTACTCCTACTCCTACTCCTCCTCCTCCTCCTCCCCCTCCCTCTCCTCCTCCTCCTCCTCGCTCCTCGTCTCCTCCTCCTGCTCCCCCGCCTAGCTGGCTAGCTTGACTCCTACTCCTACTCCTACTCCTCCTCCTCCTCCTCCCCCCCTCCTCCTCCTCCTCCTCCTCCTCCTCCTCCCTCCTCCTCCTCCTCCTCCTCCTCATCCTCCTCGTCTTCCTCCTCCTCCTCCTGCTCCCCCGCCTCCTCCTCCTCCTCCTCCTCCTCCTCCTCCTCCTCCTCCTTCTCTTCATCCTCCACCCACCTAAGTATTTTTCTCTCCCCTACGTCTCCGTACCCTCTCCCTCCTCCTCTCCTCCTCCTCCTCCTCCTCCTCCTCCTCCTCCTCCTCCTCCCTCCTCCTCCTCCTCCTCCTCCTCCTCCTCCCCCCCCCTCCTCCTCTTCCTCCTCCTCCCCCTCCTCCTCCTCCACCTCCTCCTCCTCCCACCTGCCCCTCCCGCGCCTTGCTAGCCAGCAATATGTTTTCGGGCTTCAGATCCCTGTGCATGACGCCCTTGCCGTGGATGTAGGCGATCGCGTCGAGCAGGTTGTAGCAACAAGCTTTCGCTTCCTGTGTTTGGGATGATGCTGGTTCGTCCACCCACTTCCCCTCTCCAGACCTCGAACGCCACGACAATCCGCAACGGCGTGCATCGGAGGTCTGTCTGGTCCCGTCGACGGGACGCCTTTTCTGTTTATCCTTCCCCGTCGGGAGGGAGAGAACACTCTCCCGTCCCGGGGCGGGGGGGGGTCAGATTCGCATCGCCCAGATTCGCATCGCCCCCTCTCCCACGCCGGTCCTCCTCAGGTCCTCTTCCCCAGGGGGGGAGGGTCCCAGGGGGGAGTCCTTTTCCTCCTCCTGCTCCTCCGCCTCCTCCTCCGCCTCCTCCTCCTCCTGATCTCCGCCTCTTCCTCCTCCTCCTCCTCCTCCTCCTCCTCCTCCTCCTCCTCCTCCCTCTCCTGGTCGTCGTCGATGTCTTTCAGGGTCGGCGGCACCGACCGTCAGGCCTTCACAATCATCAAGAAGGCTGGTCTCCCTGAAGTTCTTGGCATCCGGGACCATTTTCAGGCCTCAGGGCCAGCAAGCAACTGCACGGGACGAGACATCAGACACTGGGAAGGTGTACAAGGCTATGTTGGGGGGGCGTCTTGAAAAACACCGAGAAACGTCGAATGCCTGGGAATGATGCTGCTTCCCTCCCGTCTTCCATCTTCCTCGACGTCCTCCATCTATTCCTCCTCCTCCTCCTCCTCCTCCTCCTCCTCCTCCTCCTCCTACATCTCCTCCTCCTCCTCCTCCTCCTCCTCCTCCTCCGCCTCCTCCTCCTCCTCCTCCTCCTCCTCCTCCTCCTCCTCCTCCTCCTCTGGATCCTCCTACAACATCTCATGCTCTGCCTCCTCCCCCTCTCTGCCGTCCGAGGCTCATGGGTGACTGGCAGGGAGGCGCGCGGCGCGGTGCCTACGCGAGTCACGCCGCGCCCTGCACTCGGCCGGGGGATGCCTTGGCCCGTTGCCCGTTGGCCAGAAACCACCGACAGCATCGGAACGCCTAGCTCTGCGGCATCCACGTACAGGGACTGCTGCTGGTGAACGCCTCACCTGCTTGGCCCGTCATCGTGACCTCCAAAGCCGCGCCCGTGTTCTTCTAAACGCGGGGGCTGCTTCGAGCGCGTCTCGCCTTCTCTCTCCCTCTCCCCGTCCCGACTCTCTCCACACCCCCATTTCCCCCTCTGGCACCCTGTCATCCTCCCTCCCCCGATCCATCTCCTTCTCCTCCTCCTCCTCCTCCTCCTCCTCCTCCTCCTCCTCCTCCCTCCTCCTCCCTCCCTCCTCCTCCCTCCTCCCTCCTCCTCCTCCTCGTCCCTCCTCCATCCTTCTCCTCCTCCTCCTCCTCCTCGTCCTCCTCCTCCTCCTCCTCCTCCTCCTCCTCCTCCCTCCTCCTCCTCCCTCCTCCTCCTTCTCCTCCTCCTCCGCCTCCGCCGCCGCTTCCTCCACCACATCCTCAAGGCTCACTGCTGCGGGTGCTCGTCTCCAACCACCACCACCACACACCGCCTCCACCTCCCTCCATCCATCTCCCCATCCCTCTTACCAGCTCCCCCACCCCTCAGGCTCAGGAGGACGAGGAGGAGCAAGGAGGAGGACGAGGAGGAGGCGCGGCGGAGCGGAGGAGCAGAGGGAGGAGCAGGAGGAGGAGCTAAGGACCGGGGGCAACGATGGGGAAGAATAGCCCAGGGAGTAACTAGCAATTCGTGAATCCAGGGGCGTCGCTGGCCAGTGCCTTCGGCGAGGTTCCCAGGCGAATGCATCTGATCATCGCCCGCCCTCGCAAGATCGGAGGACGACCGCTGCACGCCTCTGCACCGAGCATGGGCCGGGCCGGTCCTGGGCCGCCCAGGATGGGCAGGAAGGCAAATACACACCGATACCGGGCCCATGATCGGCCCCGGGCTGGGATCGGCGCCCGTGGACACAGCTTCTTGGGGCTTCGAATGGGCCCAAGAATCTTGGGCCCCACCCTGGGACACACGATGGGGGGGCGTCCAACCTCGACGGGGGTGCGTCCGAACAGCCCCCGTGGGGCGTATCCCAGGGTTCCCCTCCCTTTCTGAACGGCTTCATGCTTCGTCGAAAGGTCGGGGGGGGGAGGTTGGGGTTGGAGCCCGCTGGCCCTGAGAGGCCCTCGCTCCTGCTCGGGGTAGTACTGCTTCTGCTGGATCCTGTCGTACAGCTCCCCCCCCTCGCACAGCTCCAGCACCAGGCGGATGCTGCCAGGGAGGGTCTCGTCCACGTCGACCAGGCTCACGAGACCTGGATGGGCCCTGAGCACCTGCAACGCGGTGGGAAAGCCATATGCCTCATCTCTGATTCAGAGCCAGGGGTCGTCGTCGTCATCTTCGTCGTCGTCGTCGTAATCGTCGTCGTCATCGTAATCGTCGTCGACGTCGCCGCTGCCGCCGCCGTCGTAGTCGTCGTCGTCGTCGTCGGCCGCGACGTCGTCCTCGTGCTGTCGTGCCCCGGGGATGGGGCCCGCGCCGCCACGGCCGGACGCGACTCGAAGCAGGGGTCAGGATGTTGCCTGGGCGAGGGCAAGGATGTTTTTGAATGGATCTCTGGCTGGGGGGGCGAGGAGCCAGACATCCATCAGAGCGTGAATTACCTACCCCGCTTTCGTCTCCAGGCAAAACCAAGTCATACCACGCGCCTCCCCGTCGAGCTGCCTGACCAGTGCAGGCCGTAGTTTGGCATCGCTTGGTAGCTCTTGGAAGCGAGGGTGGTCAAAAGCGAGGTAGGTTCGTTTGCCCCCCAATCCAGGCGGCATGAAGTCATCACGGCGGGCCTCGCGACGTTCGTTTCTGGCCGCGGGCCCCTCACGGATCGGATCGGCACGGCTCGAGAACACACCATCATGTGGACGAGGACGACAGCTTTTGTCGTGCTTCCATATGGCGTGGGATGCCCGGGGATTGCCGATCGGCCACAACTGAGGGTCGGCCATCCTCCTGTGAGAAACCATGGTATCGACGAACTCTCGGGGGAGGTGTCGAAGCCGATGGGTCGCCCGTGGGGGCACAGGACCACATCTCCCCCAGATGTGGCTTGCCTGATACAGAGAAAGGCGGGGACAGGGGAGGGAGGGCCCCGAGCACCTGCAATATGCTGATCTCCTCCCGAATGCGGTTCATACTCGCTTGGTCGCCGACTCGCGTGTTGATCACCTTCAGCGCGAATCTCTGCTCCGGGTTATGCCGCCGCCAGCAGAGATGCACAACCGCAAACTTGCCCGTACCGATGTAGCTGCTCTCGTCGACCTTGTACTGGCTGTCGAAGCCCTCCTCTTGGTGGCGCGCCAAAAAGAAGGGGGGGAACGGGGGAAGGGCAATGGGCCAGAGCGGCGCTGCCTTCTGAGGAGGGACCCCCGCAACTCACCAGGCGAGCCGACCGAACAGGCAGAGAAGCCCGAGACCGACAGAAGCCGCAAGCAGCCCAGGAGGGGCGCCGCGACGCGGCAACGACGCAGCACGCGAACGGAATCGAACCGGCCGAACGCCACCGGCTGCGAGGCGGCCGAGCCGACCAGACCGTGGACACCCTCGTCCCCCCCCCCTTTCAAGGGACAAGCATTAAGTCGGGCGTGTCCCCCTACAGGGGGATTTTCGACGAAAAATAAAAGATACCCCAAAAATGATCAAAAGATAATCCAGAAATAGCCTGGGGACTATTTTTTGCTTGTATGTTGTAACCTTTCTGGTGGACTTTTGTACTTTTCATTTTTCGTTGAAAATCCCCCCGTAGGGGGACGCGCCCGACATAAGACAAGCACCAACAGGAGCCTCCTGCTTCGGCTGTCCGCGCGCGGCTCTCTTGGCTCGGCGCCGGCGGCGCCGGAGACGCGCTGCCGGGGGGGGGGCGGGGGACGTCATGAGGGGGTCCTCAACGGGGGGGTCAGAAAAGGTCCCCTTTCGTGCCCCCTTCGGGCCCTTCCAGAGCCCCAGGGGCTCGTTTACTGGCGGCGCGCACAAGGGGGGGGGGGGAGGGGGGAGGGCTTCTTAGAAGCAGGCTGCCTCTTAGAAGGCGCCGGCCTTGCATCTATAGATAAGGCCCGCGCCTTCTAAGAAGCAGGGTGCTTCTAAGAAGCCCCCCCCCCTCTCCCCACCCCCCTCTGCGCGTGGCTGAGTTTAGGTACCGTTTGGGTACCTTTTCGAACCACCCTCGCCACCACCCGCATTTATGACCCCCCCCAGTACGCGGCGCCCAATGCCGGGAGGGGGGGGGGGCCGGGCGCCCACCCGAGACACGCGCGCGGCCCTGCATCGGGTCGGGCCTCTGCCTCTCCCGCTGCTCCTCGAGGATTAAAACAGGGCGAGGATCGGGGTAAATCGCTCGAAAGACGCAGCGGAGCAGGTAGCTGGAATGCGGACGCGGGGGCCAAGCAGGGGCTCCTCGAAAACAGGGCTAGGATCGGGATAAATCGCCCCAGAGCGTTCCGGAGCGCTCTCAGAGCGCTCCGGAACGCTCTCAGAGCGGCCGCGGCGCCCAAGACATCCTCCAAACCCGCCGATTCTCAGAGTTTTCGAGTCATCCCGATCCGATGTTGTCCCGATCTTCGCGTCGTTTTACGATGGCCCCGTGCCGCTGGGGGGGGAGAGCACGGCAGGGGGCACCGGCTCGGGACGGCGGACGCCGACGAGGAGAGGCCCCCGATATAGATCGATGAGAGGCATCGCCGGCAGAGGACGCATCGACGAGGATGTGGGAAGCACCACGGGACGATGATACGACGATGCATCGACTATGACAGGACGGGAGACATCGACGAGGATGGGAGGCACCACGGGACGATGATACGACGATGCATCGACGATGACAGGACGGGAGACATCGACGAGGATGGGAGGCGCCACCGGAAGGTGACGCGACGATGCATCGACGATGACAGGACGCGAGGCATCGACGAGGATGGGAGGCATGACCAGTAGGATCGATGATAGGCCCCCGACAGCGAGGCCGGACGCTCCTGGGCGGGTGGGCTATCAGGCCCCCATCGGCGATCAATGGGCGAGCGGGGGTCGACGCATCCCACCCTGAGCCCCTCCCCCCCCTAACTGCGAGGCGGGAATGTTTATACAATTTTATATATAAACACATATAGATAGGCCCATATCCATATGCAGATCCATATCCATATCAAGATCCTCCATATCCACCGCCTGGGGAACCACGTCCTAGGACCCCTGCGGGCGGTGCATATGGATATGGATTGGCCCCAGGGGGGGGGGGGGCGAACAGATCTGCAACCATCGCTTGCCAAGGTTCCCGAGCATCGATCCCCAGGCGGAGGCCATGGATAGATTCTAGCATCGAACCCACTCTCGGGTCACAATTCCACTCCCTGGCGGCCGTCCAGGACGATCCGGCACGTCCAATGTGCCCTCGACGAGGCGCAGCGGCCGGAAGGCATCCCGGGGCTGGAAGGCCGGGCCGTCGAGAACGGACGAACATGCGCGAACCCCCCGACGTACACTCGCGTCCGAACACCCCTGACGTTGCCCCTGAGTCTGGGGGGGCCTCCTTTAAGTGGGGTCCGACCTTATCTGCTCGGACCCCATCCGGGAGACCTGGACCTACAGTAGGAGCTCGACCACAAGAAACCTTCCACAGGAAACCCAACCCTGGAACCCCAGGACGTCCCTCGATGTTGTGTGGGAACGTCACGCTGCCCATCGCCAAACCATCGACACCCAGGAAACCCAGGGCACCCTGGAGGCAAGCAGGGGTGCTTCCTGGCATGGGTTCCCACCGTGGAGCCGCTGTAGCTCCTCCTCCAGCTCCGTCGGGCACAGGGCGATGAAGTTCCCCATGTCTCTGGCGCGAGGCGAGGCCCACCAGCCGCCCGCGGCCGCAGCCCATGCTGGTCGAGCCCGCGCGGCTGCGGAGAGGGCCCGCGGGGCAGCAGGCGCCGTCCGCGGACGCCCCGCGGAGGCCCCGGGCTCCGAGGAGCGCGCAGCGTGGTCCCCGCGGAACAGGAAATAAACGGAATAGCTCACCTCCTAACCTCATGCCCGTGAGAATAAACACTAGGGGATAATAAAGTTCGGGGTTCAGGGAGAGATAATAAAAGTAGCCCAGCAGACCTCAGCATAATCTCGAAGTAAGAGATGATCAAGAGGAGACCAAGCCGAGCACGTTTTGAGACATCCTTGGCGTTTAGTTTTCATAGGAATATCCTCAACAATGGCTTATCTCACATGAAAATTGTTTTTTGTAAGTGCTCGTGTAGGGTAGCTCATGTGCCTCAATTTCCATGGATAATCAACCCCAGAGATAAAAAAGTTCGGGCGAGCGTGGGGACAGAGAGAAATATAAAAGAAGAAGAAGAATAATACAGTATAATAATAATAATAATAAGAAAGAAGAAGAGGATAATAAGAAGAGGACGAAGAAAGGAAAAATCCAAAGTTCCAAATCTATCAATTTTAATTTACAAACGCTTTATGAAAATTGATTTTTTATAAGTGCTCGTGTAGGGTAGCTCATAAGCTTCATTTTCCATGGATAATCAACCCCAGGGATAAAAAAGTTCAGGCGAGCGTGAGGACAGATAGAAATATAAAAGAAGAAGAGGAAAGTAGAAGAATAATAAGAACATTGCTCGTTTCGTTTGAGTCTGCCTCCCAAAATTATTGGTTTCGCTTGACACATCCTGAAAAAGTGTGATCGCTTCGCTTGATGTTGCTATATCAACATCGCTTGATGTTGCTATCTCAACATAGCGTTTCGAGGTGATAATGAAGTTCGGCCTCAGCGCTCGCCGCCCAATTTGAATTTTGTATAGGGCGACGATAATCAACTCTAAACACTGAAGGGGAGGGGGGGTCCCTTTATTATCATCGGCATGCGGTTAACGCTCAAGCAGAAGCTAATTCATCCTCGAATGCATGAGCTGTGCTGGAAATAACTTCCTGCACCTGTTAGTCCCATTGGGAGTCGGGACACTCCTCTCCGAAAGGTGAGAGCTGCACAGACACTAAACCTTCGGCGGTCCGCGGAGGATGTCCTCTTGGACCTCTGCGGGACCCCTGGGCCCCAGGCGCGGGGGACGTGCCGATGCGTCCTGGCGCGAGGGCCTCGACATATGGGGCCTCGGCGTGGTCTCGGCGTTGGGACTCTCGCCCTCCTACGACCGGCCCCAGCTGTGCATCAGGAGGGAAAAAAAAACACAGACGCAATTAATCGACGACTCCCCAGAAAATATAAGAAAATATGGGAAGTGGGGGGAAGACCAAAGCCCAGAAAATATGAAAAACTATTAAGAATCCAATTATTTGTGTGCATTTATTTGTGTGTCCCAGGGCCCCTTCAATGCAGCCCACCGCGGGGGTGGCCAGAGGCTCTGCTTCAGGAGACCCGCGGCGCACGCGGCGGCAGCCGCGCGAGGAGCCGCGGCGGGGCCGCGCGCGCCGGGCGCGCGCGGCACGCTGCGGAGGGCCGGCGTGTCCAGCTGCGGTCGGGGACGTTTGCTTGGCGTGTCGCCGAGGGGCGGCCCCAGCCACGCGCTATGTCCTCCGAGCGGGTAGCTTGTCGCTCCGCTCCGCGGGGCGAGAGGCTCGGAGAGGCTCGGGACGCGGAGGGGAAGCCCGGGGACCGGGGAGTGGACAGCACGTCGCGCCGAAGCGCGGCGTGCCAGGGCCAGCGGAGCGGTACGCTGCCCGAGAGTTCCCGCCGGTACACGGGTGCAGAGCGTGGCGGCGCGCACAAAGGGGTAGCAGGGGCAGAGGTGTAGGCTTCTTAGAAGGAGGCTGCTTCTTAGAAGGCGCCAGCCCCACATCGAAAGATGGGGCCCACACCTTCTGAGAAGCAGGGGTGCTTCTAAGAAGCCTTCCCCCCCCTCCCCCCACCCTTAGGTCGGGCCTGTCCCCCTACAGGGGGATTTTGGACGATAAATCAAAAAAATGCTAAATTATCCTGCGACGTACCTAACCCATGTACATCAAGTGGCAAGAGGAATAGGCCAATATTAGCAGGAACAACGACAGTGTAGACGGGGTGAATTGCTGCGCAAACTACATGGGATGCGCATGCGTCGCACGACTCACAGGACGACATTCGAAAAAACGAGGATTGAGGCCCCACGCTCGAAAGATAACGGGGGCCGGGACGAGGGGCAGGAGAAGGATCGAATGGGGGGAAATCTGAATCTGCGTATGACCCCACTCCGCTGGGCCCCCCAGAAGCCCTCGAATGTGGCGACACTTTCTCAGATCGCAGCCCCCAAGGGATGGCGAGGTCTAATCTGAATCTGCGTATGACCCCACTCCGCTGGGACCCCCAGCAGCCCTCGAAAGTGGTGTCAATTTCGCAGATCGCAGCCCCAAGAGGGATGGCGAGGTCTAATCCAAATCTGCGTATGACCCCACTCCGCTGGGCCCCCCAGCAGCCCTCGAAAGTGGCGACAGTTTCGCAAATCGCAGCCCCCCAGGCACGGCGAGGTCTAATCTGAATCTGCGTATGACCCCACTCCGCAGGGCCCCCCATCAGCCCTCGAAAGTGGCGACAATTTCGCAGATCGCAGCCCCCCAGGGATGGCGAGGTCTAGTCTGAATCTGCGTACGACCCCACTCCGCTGGGCCCCCCAGCAGCCCTGGAAAGTGGCGACAATTTCGCAGATCGCAGCCCCCCAGGGATGGCGAGGTCTAATCTGAATCTGCGTATCACCCCACTCCGATGCCCCCCCCCAGCAGCCCTCGAAAGTCGTGACAATTTCGCAGATCGCAACCCCCCAGGGATGGCGAGGTCTAATCTGAATCTGCGCATGACATGACCCAACTCCGCTGGGCCCCCCAGCAGCCCTCGACAGTGGTGACAGTTTCGCAGATCGCAACCCCCACAGGGATGGCGAGGTCTAATCTGAAACTGCGCATGACCCAACTCCGCTGGGCCCCCCAGCAGCCCTGGAAAGTGGCGACAGTTTCGCAAATCGCAGCCCCCCAGGTATGGCGAGGTCTAATCTGAATCTGCGTATGACCCCACTCCGCTGGGCCCCCCAGAAGCCCTCGAATGTGGCGACACTTTCTCAGATCGCAGCCCCCAAGGGATGGCGAGGTCTAATCTGAATCTGCGTATGACCCCACTCCGCTGGGACCCCCAGCGGCCCTCGAAAGTGGTGTCAATTTCGCAGATCGCAGCCCCCCATGGATGGAGAGGTCTAATCTGAATCTGCGTATGACCCCACTCCGCTGGGCCCCCCAGCAGCCCTCGAAAGTGGCGACAGTTTCGCAGATCGCAGCCCCACAGGGATGGCGAGGTCTAATCTGAATCTGCGTATGACCCCACTCCGCTGGGCCCCCCAGCACCCCCCGAAAATGGCGACAAATTCGCAGATCGCAGCCCCCCAGGGATGGCGAGGTCTAATCTGAATCTGCGTATGACCCCACTCCGCTGGGCCCCCCAGCAGCCCTGGAAAGTGGCGACAGTTTCGCAGATCGCAGCCCCCCAGGTATGGCGAGGTCGAATCTGAATCTGCGTATGACCCCACTCCGCTGGGCCCCCCAGCAGCCCTCGAAAGGGGTGACAGCTTCGCAGATCGCAGCCCCCCCAGGGATGGCGAGGTCTAATCTGAATCTGTTTATGACCCCACCACTCCGCTGGGACCCCCAGCAGCCCTGGAAAGTGGCGACAGTTTCGCAGATCGCAGCCCCCCAGGTATGGCGAGGTCGAATCTGAATCTGCGTATGACCCAACTCCGCTGGGCCCCCCAGTAACCCTCGAAAGTGGCGACAGTTTCGCAGGTCGCAGCCCCCCAGGGATGGTGAGGTAGGAGACAAACTGGTACGCAGGAGCGAGCGAGGTAGGAAGCAGAGGGGGAAGAGGAAAGGAGGAGGGGGCGGGAGAGGAGAGGAGAGGAGTCGCGACCGCAGCTGCTCTATTCAAATGTTGGACGATAAAAGAGCCAAAAGATGCCCAAAAATCATCATCAATAGTCCCCAAACTATGTGTTTACTATGTTTGATCATTTTTCGACTATTTTTCTCAGTAGAGGGACAGGCCCGATTTAACCCTACCCGTCATGGGAAGGCGACAGAAAGGGGGGGGGGGGGGGAGAAAGGTGCACCTCTCGGGCCCTGAAGGACCCCGTTTGGGCCCTCCAGGGCCCCTGCAGTGGCCCTCAAGGGCCCCTTCTCTGCAGCCCTCGCTGCCCCCCCTCATTTATCGCCCCCCCCCCTCTACGCGACGCCCAAAGTTGAAGGGGCCCTGGGACACACAAATACATGCGCACCAGTAACCGGATTCCCCCTATATTGTTCCATAGTTTCTGGGTTCTCGTCTCCCCCCCACTTCCCACATTGTCCCATATTTCCTGGGGAATCGACGATGACTTGTGTCTCTGTGTTTTGTTCCCTCCTGAAAAGTGCAGAGAGCGTCGCTTGTTCCCGTGCGGGCGCGCGCGCGATCCGGAGTGCGCGCGGGCCTGCTCTCTCGGCGCCGGCGCCGCCCGCAGCGGGCGCGGGGGGGGGGAGCACGAGGCCTCGGGGGCCGTCGGCGGGCTGGCCGTGAGATCTTCGCGCTCCCCCAGAACGTCGACCGCAGCTTTGGGCGCCCGAAATGGGCACGGGAAAAATGGGTACAATGCCCAACAACAATTGTTGTCCCAAACCAACAGCGGCCGCTGTTGGGCAGGCGGCCTTCTGTCTCGAGTGGACACAGGCCGCGGCGGCGTGGACAACGAGCCCTGTTCAAAATGACCAGGAACTGCTGTTGGGCATTGTACCCATTCTTTCCGTACACATCTCGTTCGTGCCGAACCGCAGCATGCCGAACTTTTGGCCGTCACCCAGATCGGCGGCGAGCGGGGGGAGGGGGGATATGAGAAGGAGGAGACCTTCGCGGAGGGCGGCGGGGCCCCTCAGAGGCCCTCTTGCCTGCCGAGGAGTGTCCTGCGCCTTCGGGGAAGGCTCAGAAACCTCCTCGGAAGGCCGGCAGACTTCCGAGCATTCCGAGCCGGAGGACTGCATCGTCGACGTCGGCGATGCATCGGCGACGTCGACGTGAAGCGAATCGGGCTCCGCATAGAGCCGCATCGCCGATGCATTAGCGATGCGGCGCGATCCTCCGACCCCATCCCACTCCGACCCCATGTAGGAGGCCTAGAGAGAAGGCCTTCCCCTCCTCACTTCCCCCCCAGGCTCGCCGCCGACAGGTGTATCCAGCTCTCGCCCAAGCCGGGCCGCCAGGGGGGTCCAGCGCAGATCTGGTCACGACAGCTGCCCTTCCGGCGGAGGCCACCAGCGAAGGGCCACTCCGGCGAAGGGCCACTCCTGTGAGTGATAGCCGACGACGCTCCGCCGGCCCCACCCAGCAACGCCGCCGACGACGAATGACAGACAGCGGACGACGACGCTTACACCGATGACGCCGACGCCGCCGCCGCCGACGACGACGGCGGACGACGACGGACGACGACGGGCGACGGACGACTGCGTACGACGACGACGACGACGACGACGACGACGACGACGACGACGACGACGACGACGACGACGACGACGACGACGACTACTGCGTACGACAACGACGACGACGACTACTGCGTACGACAACGACGACGACGACGAAGACGACGAAGACGACGAAGACGGAAGGCGGCGGCGGCAGCGATGGGCGCGGCGGGCGCGCGGCGCGCCGCCCGGGCGCGGGCGCGCCTCGCAAGGCGTGGCACTGCAGGTCACCGTCTGCCGCGTGGCGCCCGCGCAGGGCCTCGCCGAGCGCGCGCGCGCGGGCGCCGCGGAGGCCTCCCGGCCTCTCCCTCTCTCTCTCCCGCCGGGGCGGCGCGCACGGGCGCGGGCGGCAGAGGGCAGGGGCAAAGGAACCGGCTCGAGCAGCTGGGGCTCCCTGGCGCGCCGTGTGGTGCCAAGGAGTGGGCGCGGCGGCGCCGAGGAGTCGCAAAGGGCGGGGGGGCGGGGCCGCCCGCCGCCAGCGCCCCGGGGGCGCCGGGCCCGCCCCCCCCGCCCCCCGGCTGGAGCAGCACCCGGGATGGAATTTGCCAGGTAGGGGGGCTGCAAAGGATCAGCCCTGTACCAGCGCGGGTTGAGCAATTGATGCTCGTATCAGGGGAGCCTGATGTGGGGGGCACGTGACTTGGCGGCGGCATATCTGGACATGCTTGCGCAGCCACCTCTGCTGGGTCTGGACGGGAGGCGACGACGCCAACAAGTGTGGCAGGATGGGGAGGAGCACAAGTTTGTTTCAAAACTCCGTGTTCGAGGTCACGCCCGCTGCCAGAGCCGCCCCCTGCACCACCCCCCACCTGCCTCCCCCCTCGGTAACGTCACGCTTCGCACTGTAGCTGCTTTCAAGACGAGTCCAGCGCAAATCGTGACTTCCCCGCCCCCCACCCTCCATCCCCGCGGCAGCGCCCGTTATCAACAGGGGATCTGTAAAAGCTGGCTCCGCGTCTCGCTGCTCAGCTTGCTCCCCTCGGGGAGCTCCCTCGTCGCGACTGGAGCTGGTCGGGCGAGCATCGGGGAGGCGACGACGCCAGCAATGGTGGCCTGGACGGCCGCGGCGCCAGCCCAAGGCCGGCCAGCGCGGCCGCCCTCTCCGGTGGTCCAGCCTCCAGCGCTGACCTGGACGCTGGCCGTGACGGCCAGCGACCAGTCGCCGGAGGCAGCGACGTCCGGCGATGGTGGGCGGCAGGGCGATGCCGAGCTCCGCCTCCTCGAGCCTCGGCGGGGGAAGCTCTCGAGCGTCTTCGGGCCCGCGTCGGGCCTCCGGGGACTCCTGTTGGACACCGCCGGGCATTACAGCACACGTACGCCGCCAGTGCGCGAAAGGTAGCGTGGACGGGTGCCGCGTACCTCCGGCTGCCGGGACAGGGCTGCACGCGTGTGCGGCCTCGCTTGCGGAGGTCCATGTGGAAAATCCTCCAGCAAGCGGTGGCTGCCGCAAGATGGGGAGGGGGGGTCGGGACCCGGGGCGGGGGCAAGACTGCGGAAGGGCGAGTGACAGAGTGGGGAGGATCAGCGTGCCACGGGGCAGCGGATCGAAGGCGATCGGGGGGGGACGCGTCGTCGCTGACCTGACATGCGTCGCCGCTGAGCTGACTTCCTCCGGAGGCTCTGGAGGGAGAGGAGTGGGGGAGAGGGGGCAGGGGAGAGCGCAGGAACGGAGGGGACCCACCACAATGACAAGGGGG